CAGAGGAAGGCTTTTAACTTGAAAACTTAGAGGAAGTGTTCAGTAGAACAGTAGAATCTGCAGTACAACCCTGTGTGCGTGTTTCAGGCGGCGGCGGTCGAGGAGTAAGAGTCCCGTCAAGAAGGAGAAGAGTCCAATCAGGTGAGAGCGTGGGTCTGAGGGGAGGAGTCTGTGCCTGTCTCACGGGATCAATAACTGGTGTTGATGGCGTTCTTTCTGCAGGCAGCCCATCGATAACCTGACGCCCGAGGAGCGAGACGCCCGTACGGTGTTCTGCATGCAGCTCGCCGCCCGCATCCGCCCCCGAGACCTGGAGGAGTTCTTCTCTGCGGTGGGGAAGGTGAGACGCCAACTTCCTGTTTCTATCGTGGACCTGCTGCAGCGCCTCCTCAGCGTGTGGGGGTGACTGTAGGTCACAGGGAGTTTCTTCTTCCCTCTTTCGCCGCGTGCTGACCGCAGGCGTCGTCTGATTGGTGGGGTTTAAACCTTCAGCGCTTCAATGCTTTCGTGGCTCGCCGCGAGCGCTCCTTCTCTTTTCTCTGGTTGGTGGAGTTTTTACTCGTTCACGTTACAGAGTGTGCGTTTGTGTTTGGTCACAGAAAATGGAGACAGAATGTCGCCGCCGTGCACTCGAGCCTCGGCCGATCGTACCTGCGAGCAGTCGGACCCTCAAGCCCGCCCACTCGTTCCACCATCGGCGTGGAAAGTGTCAGAACTGTCATAGGCCTTGGAGGGGTTTAAACCTTAGGGAAGTGATATCACTTCCTGTGGTACGTGATCACACTGACAGCTTGATCGTGGATATCCCACGTACGCGGTGAACACCATCGAATCCATAGTTATGTTTCTGTTGTGTGAGCTTTTTACTGGATCAGCTCCTCGTGGAAGGACACGGCGTCTGGACAGGCTAAACGTGTGACGCGTGAATGCAGAGTGGTTACACAGTAAACATGATGTAAACATGATGTAAACATGATGTAAACATGATGTAAACATGATGCATATATGTGTCAGACAGACAATGGATACTGATGATACGTGAACAGCAGCGCGGCCGGTCCCGTCAGGGGAACGTCCCGGCGATCCCTACCTCTGCACTGCCTTTACTCCGATTACTCCGGTGGATCGGCTGGTTGGTTCCTATGGCAACTAATGTTGCTCCTGTGTTTAGGTTCGGGACGTCAGGATGATCTCAGACAGGAACTCCCGCAGGTCAAAGGGCATCGCCTACATCGAGTTCGTGGAGGCAAGTTCAGTTCCTCTGGCCATCGGGCTGACGGGACAAAGGCTGCTGGGAGTTCCCATCATTGTACAGGCCTCACAGGTACACACACACACACACACACGCGCACAGACACACACACACAC